GCAAGGAAACATTCCCTTCTCATTTTCCTTAATTGTACTCTAGAAAATCATCAAGGGATATGCTTCTTATCCTGGGAACAATTTTGATTAAGTTGCTTGAGCCCTAGAAGGATTTTGTAGTCCTTTTCTCAAGCTTCCTTTTATTTGTACCTTATTATTTTTTGCTGGTGTAGAACAACTTAAGCATATCTTATTTAATGCCTCTAATACCAGTTTATGAACATTAGGAAGCTTCTTCCACCGTGTTGATGAATTTGGAGACTCTGCTGCTGAGTAATTGTCAAGCGGTACTGGACTTCTACAAATTATTTTCCTGCATGTCTTCACTTCACTTTAGAACTGAGGGATTCACTCACTTGATTCTGGTTTGGTCATTAAATTGCCTAATCACGAAAACCCAATTTTTCTTGGTGCTGATCAGGAGCAAAGTGAAGTGCGTTTTTGTGCAGTGAGATGGGCAACATGTTTGTTTGGTTCTCAACATTGTCCTAGTCGATTTATTTGTATGCTTGGAGCTGCAGATGCTAGATTGGATATAAGGTAGCAGAAGTTTCTTTTCTGTTTAATATAATAGAATAAACGACAATTTTTATTTTACTCCCTTGTGTGATGTGGGTGGAATGTAAAATACTTTGCCTTGTTTCCAAACTGGTTTATGGATGTCTTCTTCCTTATTGTTATTTCTTGTGGGTAATGGGTAACTATTTGGACATGGATAGTATGCAAGAGCTTGTTTGGCCTGTTTCCTAGTTGAAATCTTTTCCTTTGCTAATACCTCAAAAGTTCTCTAAATATATGAATAGAAAGCAAACATGTCCATTTAAACTGCTTTGTATTACAGAAGTGGGAAACATGAAGTAAAGAATTTGAGAAAGGGTTAACCTTATGACCCTGACAGGGTGTAAATTTGTTTTGTTATTTGGCTTGATCATATAGGGTTATTGGGAGAGAACCTTCAGGTGTTTAATCCTTCTTGTTACTGTATATTTATTTGGCATCTATTTCCAAGTTTGAACTTCAGAATATATTCATCATTTTGAATTTGGCTTTTTAATTCTTTAAGTTATTAAACTTGGTTTTGACTGTTTCCTTTAAGGGAATTGGCACTTGAAGGGCTTTATCTTGGTAAGGGTGAAGGGCAAATAATCAGTCAAAATCTTGATCGCAAATATCCTTTGCTTGGAGGCATTCTAGAATACATTCTTACTCAGCAGCCGAGGTTGTTAGAATCATCTGAAAGGAGAGAACAGAAGCTTCTTTTTCCATCAGAAATGTATGTGGCCATGATTAAATTTTTGTTGAATTGCTTTGTGTCGGAGTTGGCACAAAACAAATCCTTAGGAACATCATCTGACTTTCTTTCCTCAGTGGAAAGAATGTGCTTGCTACTAGAGCATGCTATGGCATTAGAAGGATCCTTTGAGTTGCATTCGACTGTTTCAAAGGCACTGGTTACAATTGGATCTCATCTTCCAGAGGTTTGTGCTACAGCCCACAGGTTTCTTGTGCTTGGTTGTTACTTTCTTGTTGCTGGATGTGTACTCTTTGCTGAGATATAATTTTTATTTATTTATTTGAAGATGATAGCATCACACTTTGCTTTGAGAGTTCCATGGTTAAAGCAATTACTGAATCATATGGATTGGGATACGCGTGAATCTGCGGCACGTTTGCTTGGCATTGCTTCCTCTGCCCTTCCCAATCCAGCATCATGTGATCTTATATGTGAGCTTGTTTCCTCAATCAGGGGAGCAAACAAATTGAGGTTAGTAGCTATAGCTTGTTAGGACTAATGTCTTTATAATGTTATGTTCCTGTGCAGTTTTAAGGAAAAATGATTTCTTATTCTGGACCTGAACTGAACACATTCTTCAGGTTTGAGGCACAGCATGGAGCATTATCTGCCATAGGATACGTCACTGCAAATTCTGTATATAGAACACTGTCTGTAAGTAGTACAACTTTCCTTGTGGATATTTTTAAAACCACTTTGGCTTTTGTTTCCTAATAGGGCATGCAAAATTGCAAATTATTTTGAGTTTTTTGCTTCACTGCTTCATGATGACAGCAGAGAAGGCACAATCTTGCCTTATCTTTTGTTTCCACTCATATCTAGGGTTTGTTGATTTTCTTCCATTATTATAATTTTTTTGGTCGAAATGCAATTCTTTGAATCTAATTATTTTGCAAGTTCAGTAAAATTTATGTAAATCTGGTCTTTTTCATGAACAGATCCCAGAGGAGCTGTTTCAAAATACACTTAAATGCCTTATTGATGTTGTTAGTTCTGAGTCTGGAACTTTGGCCTCCATTGCAATGCAAGCACTGGGTCATATTGGTTTATGTGCCCCTTTACCTTCAGTGGTC